CCCTCCCCCGATGCAAACGTGCAGCTGTGGTGAGTCTCAGAGTATTGGGTGGGAAAGGACCTTGCAGCTCCGGGGAGTGCGCCCGGATGTGCATAATCAATTTTTCTTTTTTTTTGGCTCTCTCCTTCTTGCGCCTACCTATGCGTTCCTTTACTCCCTGCGACACATCCAGGCAATGATGGTCGCTAGTGTGGTTCAAGCAGAAGGCGCGCAATGAGGCGCTCTGTATCATAATGCTGAACTGGTCTCACCGCACGAAACAGGAGGCAGGATGAAACAAGAGAGTGCGGAATGCGTGGAAGTGTGTGGCGCTCACCACTTCAAGTTGTCATTCGGCAACCGGCCGATTCGTGCATCGACCCGTCGCGACGCCTGTCTCCCGTCAGGCTTCCGGAGCAATCGNTCCAATGTTATGTCTCTCTCCTCGTTTCTCTCTCTGTGTGTGTGTGTGTGTGCCTGTTTTGTCGCCGCAATGGCACGGCGGTTGGTTGACGTGTACCCCCTCGTGTTCCCTACCCCATGGTGAAGTGATTGTTGTCTCTGCGTGCACCTCATTCATGTGTGTGTGTGTGTGTGTTCATGCGCGCCCTCTCCGTGTGCCGCCTGTGGTGAAGGGGGAAAGACTGCGAAAGGCAAAATGACGCGTGCCGGCTACAAGAGCAAGGTGCTGGGCAAGGAGCGCAAGCAGGCGCTGCTCGACGCGCGCAAGAAGGTCGTCGCCTCTCGCAAGGCGCGCGACGACCGCCGCTGGAAGCGCGTGCTCGCCAAGATGGACGCGGAGAAGCGCAAGAAGTACCACGGCNCGTCGCCTCTCGCAAGGCGCGCGACGACCGCCGCTGGAAGCGCGTGCTCGCCAAGATGGACGCGGAGAAGCGCAAGAAGTACCACGGCGTCGGCAACACCGCTGAGCACTCACGCGTGCGTGGTGCCACACGCGCGTCGCTGCGCAAGCGCACCGGCCGAAAGCCCGAGAACATCGCGGTGGAGGCCACCATCCACCTGTCGAAGCTGCTCAAGAAGAAGACGTTCCACAAGCGCGCGCCCCTCGCCATCAAGCGCATCAAGACGTTCGTCGGCAAGCTGATGAAGACGAAGGACAACCGTATTGACGCCTCCCTGAACACATACGTGTGGCACAAGGGCGTGAAGGGTGTCCCGGGCCGCGTCCGCGTGCACGTGGAGCGCAAGTCGGAGACTGTTGAGGGCAGCAAGCGCAAGCACTTCTACACCATCATCTCTAACGTTCCCGTCTCGACCTTCAAGAACCTCACGACGAAGGTGATTGAGCAGTAGGCGTGTCCGTCGCTTTCCAGCAGATGTGATGGCTGATTGCAGCACCAGTTATTCCCTGATTGTTTGTTTTGCTTTCGTTCTTCACTACGTAACCACGAAAAAAAAAACTAAAGAAACAGGTGGCGGAATGAAATGGTTAATTACGCGCACGCCACTGTGGTGACTGCGCTTCGTGATGCTGTTCTTAATTGTTGTTTCCTGTTCGTTCTTTTTTTTTTTTGGCTAACCCGCACTGTAGTGTCTGTAGTGGAGTACAATGACGCGTGCCGGCTACAAGAGCAAGGTGCTGGGCAAGGAGCGCAAGCAGGCGCTGCTCGACGCGCGCAAGAAGATCGTCGCCTCTCGCAAGGCGCGCGACGACCGCCGCTGGAAGCGCGTGCTCGCCAAGATGGACGCGGAGAAGCGCAAGAAGTACCAC